GCGGCTGCAGCCAATATCAATCCCGTCTTAAAAGATAGACCAAAACTTGGTCGTTGTTTATTGACGGTATTTTTTTTATGTTTGACGATTTCACTCTTTGACAATACCTGATACTTCATCAGTAAATAACTAAGTGGATCTTAAGTGGAAATAATATATAATATTTTAATGTTATTTTTTAACTGTCTTTAGGAAATAATGAGCATATTGTGGATTAATATTCATTTTTTGAACTGTGTATGAAAGTATTGCAAAAAAGGTTAAGACAGAACATTACCAGTGGTTTTGTTCTAAGCTTAATCTTATCTACCCGTGGAAAAAAAATAAAAACTTCTAATGATTTGTGTCGTAATCTCAAAGTAATAGGGATGGTCATTTGTTAAATACATTCTATAAAATAAGTGAAGCTAACGAAAACTAAACTCTTGAAATACGAAGCAAAACAAATTCTAAATTCTTTAGAAAACATGCGTAACTACTTTTATTTCAAGTTAGCTGCTCCATCACGTCATTTTCCTTAGCACAAGAGAGATCTAACATAGTTTTCGTATGATGACCCTTCTTCGGAAATTTCTTAGTACCTTTGATTTGTTGGCAATATATTTGTTTAATATTACCATACGGTCAACAGTTGTTGAGTTACACTTTTTCCTGAACTGCAATGGTAATTTTTTCCAAAAATACTCCTAGATGTCCTTGATAGCAGAAATAAATATTCTACGTTTTGACTGCAATGATGCATCTCCCTGTCGGTCATCAACAGAAATTGGGAGATGTCCTATTTAAACAGGTGCATTCGTGATCAAAATATCACGCTTAGTTGAAATACAAAAACACTGAAATCTTTGCTGGGCTCAAGGTCAGGGAAGGCACTTTCTAGCAGTCTTATTCATGAGCAAGTGCAACTTAAGTATGTATCAGCAGAACATATGACTCTTCTTTCCCTTAAACTCCGAAGACGAAAACTGAATGCCATCTGTCTACGTGAGGCTTATTTCCTTTAGGTACATCCTTCCTGTTAAAGTGATAAATCATGACCAAATTTCAAAAGGCGCCACAAGTTAGAATGTGAGCATATCAGTGGAAAACCATGCACATCCAAATCCGGTCTATTTAAGTCTAGACACTAACTGCGAGTAGAAATTATTTATTTTCAGATACCAAAACAGCTTTTGCCTGTACTCTCTTCAGGAAACTTAAAACTACCAACAAATCAAAAAGGTTAAACTGTAAACCGGCATATCCAATCGGTCTTACATCACTGCGATCACTGACAAGTACCAAGCGTGCTATGGAAAGATTGCATACAGCAGCATAATTGCATTTAGTTGAATGCTCTTTAGGCGACCTTTCTGTCATTTAGTCATTCGGCAAAAGTAACTCAAAACGTAACTTTAATCATTTTTTTCCATTTGCTCTTGCTCTATGCAGATTGGCGCCCATACTTTTGCCTCAGAAGTGTAATTTTTCTACTGTTTGCCGCTTAGCGCTTCCACTGAACGCACCGACAATTTTTTTCTGAATTTTACAGGCCTTTCCCAGTCCCCAACTTCGGCCAATTGCTGAATCCGGAGAACAAGGTAACCATTTTACAAAATTGTCAAAACTGTCATAAAATACATTCAGGCTAGGCAGCTACGTCTCCGGTTGGTAGCTCGCTATTTTGGACTCGGTTTTGCATGGCTATAGTTGCCTTTACAATTTTCTAGCTGCAAAATACAGAAGTGAAATGAATTGCGCATTTCGAGAGAGTTTCTGAGTGGGCGGGGTATTGAAAACTGCTCAGCTTCAAGTTACAGACGCACAAGAGAAGCATTTGCTAAATATAAAAGTTTTAACTTAAGTTTACACACTTCCTGAAGCTTGTTGTCAAGGAAACTGTATTGAGAAAACTAACTTAATTTAACAGTAGTCCATGAACAAAGCCTTTCGACGGCCCTTCAAGACTCCTGTGACTGAGACTTCTTGGAAAATGTTATAATTCAGCATTATGCTTAAAGAGCTGGTATGGCAAACCAGTAAATCGCGGTCATGTTAGCCATTTCTACGTACAAATACCAGATTGTCAAACCCCCGTTCCACTGTTATACCAACACTATTATCCAATAGAAATGTTAAATGGACATAGGAAATATCTGCTTCGAATTCTCAGTCAAAAACGACATTGTCGTTTAACATTTTCAGTTCTACAATTGCACCGAATAGCCTCACTTTACTGCTCATATTCATAGTCTTCAAATCAACCATCGAAACTGTCGCTCTGTTTGAGTTCATGGTATCTGAACTTTGGTATAGATTGAAATTTTATTCAGCATTCGTGCTTTTGATCAGGCTACTGACAGACAGCCAACTTACAATTAACAAGATTAAGTCCCAGTGGCTGTCGCAACACTCTTCTATTTTATAGCTATGTATTGTAAATAAACGTCCCAATGACGGAGTATCTACTCAGGTACCGTTTGACGCTACATCTAAGCTTCGGGTTTGATCTGCCTATGTTTAGCGTATTGTTGACTAACACTGGTGGGCATTCCAGAAATAGATATTTGGGTGTCTCATGTGTACGTCAAAACATTTCCCCATTTGCATGATCTAGAAGTGCCACCTTTAGTTATAGACAGAAAGGATTCAACTTCGGAACATTGAGTATCTCCCAATGTGCTAATCCGCTTCAGAAAAGCTCACATATGGAAAAATGAGAATGCTCACTGCCATTGGACAGATAATTAAGGGATCAGGCTTTAGTCTATGCGCTGTCTACGTCACGGAACAAAATTTAACATACGATTTTCTTTCTTCTTACCCCTGTCGTACTATATGAAGAGGCTAGACACCTGGGGATGTACACAAATCGGATCAATTTGATTATTTTCCTGAGCTTTCGTACCCTAACAAGAGTCCACTTACGAGATAAGACGCAGCAACCAAAATGACGGTATTTATAGTGGTCATAGGCCACACAACTTTTAGAGCCATCATGTCGTCATGGGGTAAGAAACATGATGACTGATGACTGACAGTTGATTAGCCTATAGCCGCTATAACTACCCTCGTTTTGTTTACTGCTTCTTACCTCTGTATATGGACTTTTTTAAGGGTTCGAACACTCAGAAGAATAAACTAATTAATCTGGTCCCGAAAATTCTTCTTTATCTATGAAAATACCTGGAACGCGAACATTTTAATTCATTCGTACACAAATCCATTGACTTGATTGCGACGTTGGTTTCGTTTAGAACACACGCAACAGTTTAATGTTGACCTGTTTTCTGAAAGCGCAAGCTCTCGTTATATCTCATTAAAAAGCCTGCATTTATTTCGTGTGAATTTTTTAAATGTTCTGCAGACCTGCGCCAAAGCTCAGTGAGCAGAAAGTTGCTTGGGGGCTGGAACATCTTAATACCTACTGCTGCGTCGACACCTCCGCACAGGCCGATTTCGTTTGCTCATCCACACAGTCAGACTGAAATTAAGTCCTCGCGGGGCGAAGGGGCTTATCCTGCAAACTCGATGAGTTTGTCCTTTTCATCACCACCACCACCACCACCGCCCCACACAGAGCCATTCTCGACCGTCCAGGATCCACACCTGCCTTTCCGCTTTAATGTCCCTGCTATCCCTGCTAATATTGCAGCCAGTATAGCTCCACTGTGCCCCGATAAGGCCGCAGAAGCGGCACTTCAAAGAAATTGCGTGCACGAACTCACCCATGAAATGGTCTTGCCCAATGACCTTATTGGTTGTATTATCGGTCGTGGTGGACTGAAGATCAACGAGATAAGACGGGTAAGCCTGCAGTTTTCCGTTCTGTGGACTCAATGCACCTTGAAAACTTTAAAAAATAACCCCTCATTTCAAGTTAAGTTCAGAATATACAATTTAATTTAATTATTAAGTTGGTTTGGCAGATTTAGTTAATTTAGTTGACCCAATTGT